CTGAACCTCACTGATTCTGGGCTGGAGCTGCGATATTGAGGTCCCGCTGACACACACGCTCTACCAATAGCAAGTCAGTCTCATCTGTCAATCATAATGCTTGTTTTATGGCCTCAAATAACTGCGGTTTTCTGTGGCGGTAATGAGGGTGCATGTGCAGGCACACAAAGGTCATGCAACGAATTACGAGTGAAAGACAAGAGAACTTGTGCATGCTACTTGCATGTACATGCACAAGTGCAGCTAAAAGTACGAGGTCTGACAGTCTGCGAGTACAGTATATATATGCCATGGTCCACAAGGCGAATAGCTGCACACAACTGTGCAATGGAGCAACTGGGCAAAATTACAAGTTAGAGTTTTGTTATTATAAGTGTCAAACATTTTGGTTCATGTGAAACAGTGGCAGGAAAGAACATATGGGGGGCCACCACAGGCTTATTATAATGACCGGGAATGGGGTGAAGGACTTTTTGAATTATTAATGTATGACGTAAAAACACTCTCATACTATAAAATGATAATAATGAATTAAAAAAAATAAGCTAGGGTTCGTCATCATGTAAAGGCTAGCAAAGGCATTCTACACTAAATAAAACCGATTCATGGGGTTCTGATGACACATCTAACACGTGACAAATGCAAAACAAAACGAATATCTCAGGATTAAAAAAGTACAGGACACAGACAAAGATGTCAGGAGAGTTTGTGGTGATGAGAGCCGATGCCGGTGTCGATGTACAAAAACATGGGATCTCTGCAGCAGAATTTATACATCACATCGTGCCTCTGCCTGCTGCGCCATCCCTCACCTGAATCCTGCAGAGTGTCTGTTGTTCTGAACACGTGTGTGAAACGAAAACTGCGGAGAAAGTATGTGTGAGCTTGGTGCTGTGACTGTTCATTACTACAATATACACATGTGGCATCAACACAGTCAATTAAATAATAACGCTTTCATATTTAATCAGCTTTGTGTTGTCTGCAGATTCATATTTTAAAAGGATAATGATGCATCACATTATTGTGTCCTGCACTCATGTGGAATGAAAGATGCTCAACATGAAAACTTGATTTAGGGTTCTAGACGCTGAGCGCAGCAAAGAAAATAACACTCAAACCCCCCGGCACCAGTGTTCGCACACACAAAGGGGCAGGTTGTCTCTTGTTGTGTTTGTGCTCAGCTCATAATTTCCATACTCTGCTAAACTCTGTTATTTTCTCACGTTGTCTAGAAATCAACACAGTTCTTTTTGTCTTGTTTGTTCTAATTCAAATCCCAGTCGTCAACTTCCCCACATCACACCACTCTGCAGCAGTGGAGGTGCGGTGAGGAGAAGAGTGGGTCTCCTCAGTGGCCCTGACACGTTGTTGTGCTTCTCCAAAGCCATCCCACAATCACACCCACGTTACACAGCAGTTAGCCAGGAGCTGTGGAAATAAAGACAGGATTTCAACATAAGTTGGATTTGTTATACAACGTTTTCTTTTACAGCTGAGAGCAACAACATTAAAACGTACAAAGAGAGCATGACTTTGAGTGTTCAATATAATTGTATGTGTGTTTTTTATTACTCTCTCCACATGGTTGGATGATTCTTCAGATCGAGCCTGTTGAGACCTACAAGGAGAGATTCACATTTTCCTGAATAGGCCTTAAAACAACTTGTTTGGTGCCATATACACACAATGCAGGTCGCAATCTTTCTTGAAGCAATTTTACTGTAAAAAAGGTCACAGTCCTGTTAACTTTGAAGTTCAATCAACGCTAATTCCAAGCTTCGACTGTCCAAGTGAGTCAAGTGGAAATCTTTAAATATCAGCCTCTTTCAAACTTAAGTCCCTCTTTGTATCACCCTCTGGTATGGCAAACACTCTGTAGGAACACAAAAAGGAACTTTGTTCCAAAAGGACATAATAATAGAGGTTATTTGACTTTTCACTTACAAACTCAGAGGAATCTGTCCCAAACTTCAAGCTCTCCATGCTGAAAATGTTCCTTTTGTTTTAGGGGAGGGTCCACCCGGGTTTTCTGTGAATTTCCCAGAAACCGACCCGCTCCATGCTCTATTCATTCAATCGTTCAGGACATCACAGGCTTGGCACCGGGGAGCTGCCACTTGATGTTCGCTTCCGCTGATTCGGACACAATTCGCTCGTACACACCTCCGGGTGATGTGATGTCGTCAGTGCACGTATAGACAGAGAGACACACACAGGCGCATGTGAGCATTGTCGTAAGACAGGCAAAGCTTGACGGGTACTGAGTAGTCAAAATCACAATCACCCTTTTTTTACACATGATCACAGTAGTGTGTGTGTGTGTGTGTGTGCTTAGCCTGAAATAACTAAAATACACCTACACTTGTTTAGTTTAAAGTCCATGCATTTGAATGTGTGAGCTGTTGCACACCAGGGGCTTTGGATGCTTGCAGCCGGACAGAGAACTCCATACGTGTTCTGCCAGTGTGTGGTAGCGGTGCTCTTTGTTACTTACTGTTTCCATAATGCAGTTTAACTCTGTAATCTTGCCAACTGCCCGAGGACAGGAGGCCAAGGAGCAGGAGTAGCATCCCCTCTGCCACAAAGTGGACAAGACTTATGTCACGTACACCATCTCAAGCTGCCCAGCTGTGTGTGTGTGTGTGTGTGTGTGTGTGTGTGTGTGGGTGTGTGTCCCTGGCTGCTCAGAGAATTGATGACAGACTGATGAGTTCCTGACTATAAGAGAAACGGTGAACAACAGGCCAACCATCCGCTCAGCTCTGCTTCTTCCCCTGGACCAGGAGCCTTCTTCCTGCATGATGCACTCAAATTGCCAACACACATAATCCCCCCCCCACACACACACACACACATTTCCCATTTCATTAAACGGCTCATAGGAAAAGATCAGCCTTATCTGTTCACTCAGATAACATTTTCTTAAAATGTCTAAGTCCACCTGTCCTGTGTGTATAAAGAAGAAATGGGATGCTGTAGATTCTGTCAAACCACAAACTGGTGTTACTTCTGCCAAGAAGGTTGTGCTTGTGTTTCAGTTTGCTTGTCTGTTAGTGAGCAGGATTACGCACAAACTTGAGAATGGATTACCACAACACTTGGGGGTAGATGCAGTATGAGTCAAGAATTAACCAATTAACTTTTGGTGAGGGTCCAGATCAGGGGGCAGATTAACAAGTTTTTCCACTTTCCACTTTAATGCAAAATAAAGAACATTTTCTGAGAATAATTCATTGTGTGTCCACATAAGAAAGAATTGATGCACACCATCATTGAGATGTGCTTGTATATCTCCTGTCATAGCTTCTCTGCTTTGGCTCCCTGGAAGATTTTGAATAGAATACAATGTCCTACAATGACCTGCTCCTCGCAAACAAAGCCATTAACTTACAGCCCTTCACTGACAGACAAGCAGTCGCTCAAGTTGAAAAACTGTCTGACATTTGCACTATTTTGAAAAAAGATAAAATGCACATGGTAGGAATAGAGGAGGTGATGTTAGACCTATCTATTATAAATATATCAATGGAGAGACACATCATTCACAGACCCTCCACTCTGATCAGAGCTCGTGTTATAGGCATGAGAAGAGTTGGTTTTCCTTTGACAGGAGTGGGGTGGTGAAATATATCTAAAATAAGAACTGTGTGTGCTTCATTGCATTGTACCAAATGTTAGGTGTTTGTTTCAGAGGGATACATGTTCGGTTTCTGACAGGTTTGGGGCTCTTCTGCTTCCATAACATTTTAGTTTTATTTCAAAACATCCCAAAAACACATTGATGTGTTTGTTTTACTTCACTTTGTGTGTGTCTGTGGATATATGTGATTAAATAGCTTTAAAGGTTTTTTTCCTCCAAATGAGCTTGTTCTCAAACTCTGAGTCTGCACTTCACTCTCACTTGTATCTGCAGCACCTCACTGTTTTACTTGTGTCTCTGAAGGATTTTACTGGAGGGTTTGTTTATATGTCATCCACGGCCTGATTTATAGAACTTTTTTATTTCTAACAACATTGCAAAAAAAACTGTGACTTTGTTATGCCATAAAAATTATGCAAAAAAAAAGTATGACTCATATTTTAAGAAATATTGAGAAAATTTTAAATGCCAAATATACATTATCTTGATCAAAGTAATGAACTGAGGTAGTTTCCTAGTGATTTCTGTTCGTTACATGTTTAGCCTGTTCCCCTGTAGTGTCTCGCCTTCAGTGGTGCTTTAATGCAGCAGCATGACTTTGTGGTTACAGTGTCTGCTGGTCAGTCCACCTCTTTAGTCCAGAGTCAAAAACCTCAACACCCATTTGATAGATTGTTGTGAAATACTGAAGACATCCACAGCACCCAGAGAATCCTGCTGACTCAGGTGAACCCCTGACTTTACATCTAGCACCACCATGAGGTGGACATCTTTATTGAAAAGTCTCAGCAACCATTGTATGGTTTGCTGTGAAGTTGAGGAATAATTGTCTCCTACTGGTTTGAATTTGAATTTGTCCAATACTTTGGGTTATGTCCAAATGCCTGCAAAGTTAGTGATATTTCAATCAGCCTCAGTTGTTATTAGTGCTAATTAAGAAATGGTAGCATGATAACACACTAAAATAAAAAAGGGAGCATTTTACCTGCTAAAGCATGCAAATGTTGTCATTGTAAGTATGTTAGCATGCTAATGTTAGCATTTAGCCTTCGTGCTTCATTCTTCCCTTAAAACATTGAAATCTTATTGAGATTTAACAAGTTGAAAAAAAAGTTTAAATTTAGATTTAAATTTAAGTGAAGAATAAGTGGTCACACTCATCCTGCTAATCATCCCTACATTGCTCATGAGGAGTTTGAACTGAATTTACTGATATACATTTTTACCTCATGTGATAAACTTTCACTCAGACAAACTTAAACAAACCGGTTACAGTAAAATATTTTATTTAGAAATGATTATTCATTCTGAAAATAAGTTTAAGAAATCCAGTGATATATGTAAATAATCAATAATCAGGTTAAAGTGCAAAAATACATTTTTGATATAATGCATCTGTACAAAAATATCATTGGAATGTGATATTGAAAAGGATGAAAATTTATATACGAACATGGCTTTAATCATTCTTTGTAAAAATACATGAGAGTCGTGTCCCTTTTTTTTATAAAGTCTTTGGATTATAAGCTTCTGAGCAAATTATTTGCACTGAGCAGCCACAGGGTTTTTTTTTAAGGTCGATTTCACATTCCACACATCCACTGGGTTCTCTGCCAAGTCAGGCTTTGATAACTAAGCATACACTTATCCACAAAGGCTTATTTCAGTATTATGTCTTTAAGAATTGTCTGGTCAAATGTTCCATCCTTGAGGAGTGTCCACACAGAAACAGAGGGCTCTCTTTCTACTGCTGAAAGTAAAAAGTTTTTGGTTGTTCTTTGCCTATTGTCGTCTTTGGTCATGGTTTTTCCAGTGTCCCCGTCCTTCCCCTGCTGGCAGAGTCGATCACTTGATCTTGGCTGGCTTCAGTTCTTTGACCTGCATGTGTAATGTTTTGTGGACTGCAAGAGTCCTGGACTGACAGAAGCCCTTCCCGCACTCCTGACATTTGAAGGGCTTTTCTTTGGAATGAATGTACCTGCGAAAGAGAACAGAGTGTAATGTTAATATCCAGATCATGTCAGATGTCAGTCACCATCCGTACAGAATTGGCAAACATTTGTCAACATTCATGATCCTCCCAAACCAATCAATAAGCACATTATTCAGAAGCAGTTCGTATGAGCATGCCTGCTTTGATACTAATGTGTGTTTAGGTTCAGGAACAAACACTATGTGGCAGTATTCATGTTGGGGGTAGGTTCTGCTGGAGCGTTATCTAACCTCTTGCTGTGAGAGATTAACATACTCCAGACCTCATTAAAACCAAAACAAACATTCTTGATCATTGTCTCTGCCATCGTTCAGTTTCCTATGCCTTGTTTTCTTCCGTGCAGTCAGCCGCTATAGCGCACATTTCCACCAACTCAGGAAGCTGAGCAGAGTCACTACACCCTGATGATGCTCACGGAGAAGCGGTTTAATATGTGAGTTGCTACTGATCTAACACACAAGTGGGCACAAATTAAAAAAAAAAAAAGCTGTGCTTGCCATGTATCTTAGCTATGTGATCAGGCTGAGCACAAGGACACGTTTCCATGGACATCCTGTATCAAGTGTAATCACAAACTGCACAAGAAAGCAAAAGATGTGGACCAAACATTCTCTTGCATTCACCTTTAAACTGTTTTCAGCTTTCCAATGCAAGAGATAACTTCTCAACTCTCCCTGCAATATTCTTGATATTTTCATTTTGGTCAATTTATTTGGTAACAATAAGCTAATGACATATAAATGCCAGTTTCAAATACTTGAAATCTCTACATAGATTCATGTCGGTGGACTAAACTATTTTTATTTAATAACAAAACCCAAAGTAGCAAACTCCTAAATTTAAAATATGTAGCTCCTCACACCGTCAAGAAGAAGAACCCCTCAAATCAATCCATCATTTTCTGGAGAGTGAAATAATCCAGTGTGAACATTGTTTTCTATCTGGATGTTGTATCTTCATTATTTGCAATAATAGTTGAATTTCACAACTAAACCTGTCTCCGTTAAGACGTACAGCTTGTCCACACAGGAGGTGTTTCAGCAGCGTCTTTCAGTTGTCTGACTGCTGTGCATAATAAGCTTGTATTCTAACCAGGCTGTTAATGGCCTGCGGAATGGCTCCCATTTCACTAAACATGAATCAGAGCCTATTTTTGCACTTCAAGTCTGTTTTCTTCCAATTTACACGTTACTGCAATGACTGTGTGATGGGCATTGCTAAATGACCTGCACTCTGTACCGTGCCGGAACGCATCTCGCACACAAGCCGTCAGAGAACTAAAGCCACTCCTCACACTCTGCCTCCTGTGCAGACACGGTGTCACATGTTTGAAGAACATCAATAAAGTCGACATCATGCGCATTGTCTGTGGGAAGTGTTAAAAAACAACTGCTGGGAGCAGTGAGCCACAGCTCTGGCACCTATCAAGCACTTTTTAGTAGATGCAGGTTCTCCTGGTGTAGTTGGGCAAAACAGGAGGAAAATGTGCTGCATCAGGTTCAGTACGTGCTGGAGTTCAGTTAGAAACAGTGTATTCAAGCTAAATTGGTGAGTATCTTCCAAAAGTTAACTCTGGAAATCTGGATGAAAAGTTGAGTTCAGAGACGTGAGAAGTTAGTTAAAGATTTGGGGAGCACACTGTCTCCTGGATGGCAGCCATGGTGCTGCATTCAGATACATAATGACCAAAGTAGTACAACTAGAAGGGAGAAGTGGAACTCTCACCTAGCACACCTAGCTACTCGCTTCCTGAAGGGAGCATGTTTGTCAGATTGACAAATACAAAAAGTAATGCAACAAATACAAGGTTCTGTTCTGTAGTTCATTTGACATGATGAGCCTGGTTCTCACCTGTGGTCCCGAAGGTGGTCCTGTCTTCTGAAGGCCTTGTGGCAGATATCACAGGTATACGGCCTCTCGTCTGTGTGCGTTCTCTCGTGGATCAAAAGATTGTAGGATTTGGTAAAATGGCGGCCGCAGAACTTGCAGACAAACTCTTTCTTGGTCTTGGAGGGCAGTCGGCCTCGGCTGGACTTGCGTTCCGGTGAGGAGAGTTTGGTCACATCCAGGAGGCATCCAAGGCCGACTGAGGTCGCGTGGTGAGGTGACGCCTGTGCTGCTGCAGCGGCCCCCGTCATGCTCAGGTCCTCTGCCTTCAGATGATCGTCCTGGGTGGCTGCTGCCGCCAGGTTGGCAAAGTCAAAGCGGGGCTTGTTCTTGGAGCTCTGCAGCAGCCCTGCGGCACCCTGCTTGGGTTGCAAGAGGTGAGGGAATATGGGGATGGAGGCCATGGAGGAAAACTGAGCCGGCAGCTTGGAAATGGTGCAGCGGGGCAGAGCCAAAGGCGGGTAGCCGAGGGTCCACTGATGGAGATGGATGGCGTGTAAGGCACTGAAGCTGTAGATGCTGTGAAAATGGTCTGCTGGCAACTGGAGGCCGGTGGAGCTCTGGAGGAGGGAGTAGTTGGCCAGCTGGAGGGATGGGTGGAGAGGCACGGGTGCTGGCAGAGTCTTGCTACCCATGGCTGCTACGCAAAATCCAGGTCTTCTGGTAGAGACAAAAACATTAGAAGATGAAAATATGCAACAATGTGCAACATTCACTGTGACTTCTTATAATCTTGTATAATCCTCTAACGTGTTTCACAAGAAAATGAAAACACTGAGATCTAACATGACCAAAAGGTTTTCTCATAAGTTGCTAGTGCAAAACACAAATGCACACATCAATCTTGTAATCACTGAACCTTGTAAATAATACTTAAGAGCATCATTGTGCAACTACCAGGGAATTTTTTTTTTTGACTGAGAGGTCTCGGGTGTTTCCAAGGTTCGTGCTTCTTGGTTTATTTATGTGTGACGTGAAGCGGCTGAATTAATATGAGGTGAATTATTTTTCTCACATTGAAATCAGTCAACATGCTTGATATGTTAATTACTGGCGCAACCCACTCACCACCCCCACCTACACAGAACCCCAGTGCTTCACCACACCCCAACAACAACAACACACACTTCTGTCAGGAGTCAATACACATCCAGTCTGGCTGATAAAGCGGATGGAGGGGGGCCGATTGTCGGCTTATTGAGGCTGTGCATGTGAAAGGCACTTCCTGTTGGATCCACACCATCGAAGGCTTTTAAAGTTATAGGAAGTCTTTGTCAATTGCATATTCATACGTCACTTAGTAAAATATTTATTAGATTAAGAAGCTCAATGTTAAATCGGTGTTAATTGATTTGGTCTGAAAAGAGTTTTTTCAGGTTTGATCCTTTAAGGTTGATGTTAGTAGTGGTATTAGAATAGGGATTATAATTACAGTAGGGATGGAGATTAAAGATCTAACCACTGCTGATGGTCCCCATGAGTGTGCTTGTGTGTGAATGTGCGGTAAATGTGTCAGCAAATGTGTACACAAAATGCTGCGCGCTAACAGACGAGTTAGACAAAGCTGTGTGTGTGTGTGTGTGTGTGTGTGTGTGTGTGTGTGTGTGTGGGGGGGGGGGGGGGGGGGAGGGGGGTTCCTGTTCTCAGAAACATAACATGCCCAGGGCTGTTGAGGGCAGAGACACAGAATGACAGTGTTCAGCCAGAGAAATACCTGTGAGCTGTTAAATCAGGTTTGATAAGCCGGAATAACAATAGACAATAATGTATCTTTGTCTGAGGCAGACGCTGATGGACAGGAGCCACGGCAGCTCCAAGTCCCACAGGCCGCTCCTCATCATCTCCCACAGCAGACCTGTCTACTCATCCAGCACCGCTCACACAGACCTGTGAGCTGCTGCATTTCCGAACACTTTGACTTTTATTGTTACCTCTAGGAAAAAGTTACCATGACAGATCTCCACTTGAAATGACTTTGGTATTTTCTCTACTACTGTTTTACAGGGAATGATTCTGATAAAACACTAGAATATTCAGTGATATTATTAAATAAAACAAAATATGACACATTGTTCCAGATTAAACTGCTTACTTGTTATTGCAGCAGTAAATCCAGTAATATGGTATTTGGTAATTTAACAGTTTTGGTTCAACTCTATTTTAAGCTTTAATGCTTTAACATCTCTGTTTTATGTCTTCTACCACTGTAGCTATCGTTTCAGACGAGGACTGACAAAGGAGGGAAAAATATGAAATTCGAAGATTCAAAACATATGACAAAGTCATAAAACATGACATAGGGTGGTAACTTGCAGTAAAACCAGTGGTATGTGTGACCCCAACATACTGTTCACATGCCAAGTATCAGTACTAATGTCACATAAACGCTTCATTTTTTAATTTGTGTACATACATTTACTTTAATTAACCATTTTAGTCGAGGCGTCTCCTACTGATCACTTTTTTTGATGAATTTAGCCCTTTTTTTTCTCACTGTGGTGTTTCTGGGAAAGGACGTCATTGTTTCTTCCACCATGTAGTTACAGCGCAACTCAGTCAAACAAACACATCTGTAATCGTAACCTGGGAAAACACAGATACATTTTTCCTCAGTTTTTTTTGACTCACTTGTTACCAGATCCGTAATTTATGATAATGGTCTTATGAGTTGTGACAAGTTAAAACCATTTACTGAGCATGTGTCAGGCTTCTTTTTGCTTTTATATATATATATATAAAAAAATATATGAAAATACACCTCTTTACACTTTTTAACCCATGGAGCCGACACTGGATTCATCCGTGCAAGCTCACATTGTTCAGAAACATATCCCTGCTTGTAGTAATACTAGTATAATAACGATAATATTACATTGACATAACTAGTACATTTGTGCGAAGTACATTTGAGCTTTGATGAGGGGAAAATAAGTATCTCCCAAACATATCACAACGTAAAAAACTTTAGGTTTAAGCAGAATGCCTAAGATTGTAAATCCTTTTTCAACTGTGCATCAAATAACTGTGACTTCATTACCACCTGTACAGCGCAGGACTGTGCTGCTCAAACAAAGACAATGCGTGGAATTTGTATTGATTTAGTCTTTGCAGTAGGTTGTTATAATGTCTTCCTGCAGCGAGGGATCATCTGCATCTGATTATAATACAGGCACAGAGCGCAGAGTTTACATTTTTGTAGCTTTATCCATGCTGTAATAAATGTAGTAAATGGGGGGAATTAGAAAGGCCTTAACCTCGAGCCTGAGGCCACGCGGCTCGTCCAATAAACTCCAGCGAAGTAGTTGTAATGAGGAGCACTGGAGCTCAAACAGCCCCCTGTGGTCTGTTCCTTTCTGATCATGACGCAGAAGTAATTGACTTTTACTTAGGAGGTCATTAGAGGAGATAAGTGGTGTGCTGCTGAGCCTCTCCTCACCTTTAACCCTTTGAAGTCTGCATACCACGGACCTCCAGAGCCAAGCAGCCATGTGGGGCTCTGCTTCAGTCCCAGACTGAGATCTGTATTGTGAAGAGTGAGATGCTGCTTCTCACCTCCGTGTCAACGTAATCAGGCTGGGTGCAGTACACACACAGACCCAGAAATTATTAATGCTAATCACTTAAACTATGGAAAACACTGAGGTTACCTGCCATGTCCTCAAGTCTTTTCTATATGCTTTTGAATACGTTGGGCGATAGTGACATACCAAGACTGACACAGGGTGGGTGTTGTGTAATCTGATTCCAGTTACTTACGCTGGGTATATTTTAATTTTACCCGAGAGCTGCAGTGACATTAGATGGAAAAATGGCAGAATAATACCAGTCATGCCCCACTATTTTTTTCCCCAGTAAAGGTTTACAAACAGTAAATGATATGGTTAAATAGTGAAACTCAAATTAAACTACCTCCTGTGGTGCTGGTAATAACTAATTCATATACCCTCTCATAGCTAAAACCAGTAGTTAACTACCTTTTGCACTTGCAGCCCTTGAAAATCAAATGTCACTGCCTTGTGGATCTGAGTTGTGAGCAGGTCAACCACACTGAGTTGTTTGAGTTGACAAACTAAATCAAATAATTCAGTCTCTCACGAAAAAAAGAAAGAAAAACCAAAATCAAAGAAAGGCAGAAAAATGAATTGGCAGCAGTAACTATAACTGATGTGAGCTTTTTTTTTTTTCTTTGAAAATCTTTGGCACTGTTTTATCTCAGGAGCCCTCAGGACCACTGCTGTGACCATGGTTTTATAAGAATAACAGAATAATAAATTACTAACAACTATCAAGTGAAACAGTAGACATATAACGTCTTGAGAATCGCCACGCCTTACGTACAGGAATAATCAGACATACGAAGGATCGTTAGCGTTCTTGTGATGTATTTGATCTGAGTCGACAAAGTTCACTTTTGTGGCAAAATCAGTTCTTCATTAACTTTTTTTAAACTGTGACTTTCACATGAATGCTGCTGATTTCTGCTCGCTCTTTGTTCCCTCCTAAAAAAACTACAAGTCAACCACATACGGACGCCTCGGGGCTGAACCACACCTCGCTGCCTGTTTCTATTTTATTTAGACATACAGTGTTCACTTATTTATATCTTGCGGGATTTAGTTGGAAATCCTGGGCCTTTTGAGGCCTTAAACATTAATACATGCACCGTCTCAGATTGTTCTAGTCTCATGTAGGAGCAGCACTTATATACACAACGTGTCAGCCAACGACACCAGATACATTTTTGATCAATCCAAAAAAAGATGTATATGAAGTCATTAAAAAGCATTACCATCCTGATATGTCAAATGAAAATGCTGCCTATACTCATGTCCCACATTTAAACATAAAACAACACAAATTCTCTGACTTGTTATACTTCTGAAAAGTTAGACTTCTATTGTAATGGAGCTGAGTGCAGCTATTTTGATTTGAGTGAAACATCTGGATACCTCTCTCAAACTGACTAACATTGTGGCAGGAGATGATGATGATGATGATGCCCCCCACCCTCATCTCTCTCCTCGCTGACACTTCGACCATGACCTGATCTCCATGATCTGAGGTGTCGAGGCCTTTGACCCCCCCCCTCAGACCCACACCTGCCTCTCAGGCCTCTTGTGATGCATATGCGCTGCGTTTGATCCGAGGTTTCATCCAGTGGAGCAGCATCGTTCATTAAAGGTGAAACACGGAGACGCGGTCACAGAGTGGAGGTGTCAGAGAGCAGAGGGGAATCTCCTCTCTCTCTTGTTTGGATGATGTTTACTCAGACCGCTGCGGTTAGCTGCTCGAATCATATTTTAAACGCTTGTTTGCAGATGAGGGTGAATGAGCCAAAGGAGATGAATATGCATCTGAATTAAAGGAGCAGTTTTATCAGACTGATTTCCGTAGAGAGACGATTACAGACCTAGCGTGCCACTAATAACAAAGTGCAGATAATTGTGTTTGGAGTCTTGCTTGTGTGCAGAGAAAGTGCAGAGCAGCTTATAAACTATATTCCTGAGATTTCCCACTAACACATCTGCTGGGAAATAAATCAAAACTTCATGCTTTTTAATAAACTCATACAACAATGAGGCTTTAGTGGATAAAGTCATGTGTTTTGGCTGAAACGTCACTATTGTCACTGCCATTTGATTCAAAATCAAAATCTTGCCATTAAATACAATTGAACACAAATTAAAAAAATCTATATTAATATTGATTTATGGTAATAATTTGAAAGAGTTGAATGCCACCTGCTGCTCAACCCTTCCTTATTGCTTTTAGGTGGAATTCATCATTAAAATACTTTCATTAAATTGTTATGTTGAAAAAAAATCATTGATCATTTCATACTTGGAAAAGATGCGAAACTATCGTACATACAACTTTTTGATTTGAGTTTATAAAATTAAAGTGAAGACTTACCCGATCAATATATGTTTAAATTCTCCCTCTGCAGCGCGGAGGTCCTGCCGGGGGGGGGGGGGATCGTGGCGCGTAAGCCCGCAGAACAGCCTTCTGGCGGTGGGATGAGTCAGTGAGACGGCCGGAGCGGCAGCATGTTCCCGCTGCTGCTGCCTCTGCGTCTTCCCTCCGAGGTGAGGCTGAGCGGATCGGGCTCTGGTGGTGTGTGCTGGTGGTGTGTGCTGGTGTAGTGTGTGCTGGTGCAGCAGCTGTACGCCTCTCCTCTCCAATGGTATGCGCTCTCAGCTGCCGCCGCCTCTTTATTACAGCGCAGAGTCCGACTCCTACTGGCGCGTCACTCAGCCAACCCATATACAAAAGAAAATAACACAACAGGACACAGGACATCTTTCTGCTGGATGATCCAATGGCGCCAGGCAGAGGGAAAAAACTCTGGTTATGCGTTAATGTTTCATTCGGCTCCGTGGCGCACGCTGCATGGACAGGAGTGGTTATATGGAGCTGTGCGCACACGCACCTTGGAACCAAATAGAAAAAATGAATCCAAATAGAATCTATATAGAAATTGTGTTTTAAACAGTCAAGAGAATGAGCCAAGAATTATTCTGACACTTAACTGTGAACGAGAAAATGAAAGAGTGCATGAAGGCCATGTCTGTGCGTCTCTATACTGTGCGTGTTAACTTGCCTCATGTTTGATATGTGATGATAACAATGAGGTTTAGAACGTTTGTCTGGCAAAAACCCTGAGTCAGTCAGAGAAGGTGAGAGTTTGTGACTCCACAGCACCGCGCGTAAAAGCCTCTGTCTGCCGCTGCAGCCTGCGCGCTCCCTTCACAGCGAACGCTCTCCTGCTGCGGATGAAATTTATAGACTGCTGCTGTTAATGTTGAAAAACCAAATGGACTCGTTTGGGACATAGCGTGTGATGCTGCCCATTGGCTCCGTGCTGTCGCGTTTGGACACAAGGACTGAAAACCTGCAGGCCTCAGAAATCAGTGCAGCAGGACCGTCAGCCACCACAGAGGGAGAGAGTGAAGATGGTCCCAGATCGATCATCTTATTTATCTCAAGGATCTATGTTGAATATTAAAGCACAAATTGACTTTTCATTTTAAGATACAAGTTAGATATTAACCAAAAGCATGAGAATTAGATGTAATCTGTACTTGACTGCTGTGATATCTGTAACCTGAGACACGCACATAAATCCATCAACAGATTTGTGAGCTTCATATGACAACTATGAATTATAACACTAATGATCATTTGAATTCACGTTATTTTAGAAAGAGATCAACTAAAGAAAAAAAGGAATACAGTACCCACAGGGCAAACATGATCAGGCTCACGTCTCTAAGTTGTTTTTAAGTTTGTATTGGTTCGGGTTATTATAAATTCACTTTCAGCACAAAGATGTGAAGCACGTGTGCAGCAGTGCTACTTTAACAAATACATCAAACTGAATTCAAGTCTGCCAGGGGCATTTGTAGGTTAACAGATATGTTGTTGTGCATTTGAGGTTGTTACAGTCTGATTTGCTGAACATTGATGCAAAAATGGGGCTTGGAGCTAAGTTTTTCATTGCCTGCCATTAACTGTCAGATTAATAATCATTTTTATTTTAACAATGCTATTTATTTTACTAACAAATAATAACCTGTTAATTATGAACCCCAACACAGTAACCCTATGTGTATGTGTGTGTGGGGGCTAGGAACCACTTATATAAAGACAAGTGTGTCAGTGTGTGAAGTGTGTGTAGTTACTGGTGTCATAGTGTTGCTGAAGTGAAGCAGCTTCCAGTGAAAATCTGCCATCTGCTGGACAATCTTTTTTTTTATTTTTTTATTCGACTTCATCTTTACTCATGATCCATGTGCTTAGTTCCCAACACGGCTAAAGCATTGTGTCTCACTGTGCTCCACAAAGTAAACTGAAATATATGTGTAAGAATGATGAAGGAAACTGAAAATGCCGTGAAGTGGATTATTTTGGCTTCACGTGCCCCGCTGATATTTTAAGAGAAACCTGGCAGGCCTGGTTCGTATTGCATACCAGTGCCAAGTTCATGAGTGCAACCATAGCAATCCATCAGAGGTGGTGGCACAAGAGCCTCGCTAACCTGAGCAATAAAACACAGGGGGCAGACATCACTTCCATTGTGTGGGGCAGCAGAGGAGTGCAAACTGTAAAGAATGGCCTTGGTGTAAGTGTCCTCAGTGGGGTGGGATACTTCACTGTGCAGAAACACACAGCATGCACATGCACACAGAGCAGCTCATCAAGGCTCACTGAGCCTCCTCTGTACTGGTACAGATCACATGCACATGCATACACATGTTTCAGATGAAATTCAAACACTGCAGACAAAATAAAAGGCTAAAGTCACTCGAAATACACCAAACCCTCAGCTCCTGTAGGTCTTATAGTCTGAGTAGGTTTTTTGCATTTAAAGGTCCAGTGTGTAAGATTGAGGCGAAAGGGAACTATTGTCAGAAATGTAATGAAGAATAATCTTCATGATGTTTTCACTAGTTCATTTCATCTAAATTGTATGAATTGTAGTTTTCTTTACCCCAGAAAAGGTCCTTTATATTTAAATACTTTATATTTACATCGAGGGGACCCTCTCTACAGAGGCCGCCATGTTTTTTACATTAGTCCAGACTGGACAAACTAAACACTTTTGAGTTTTTATGACAATTAAAGGCTCCCACTGGTTCTTTTTCATGTTTGGAAGGAGAGGGTGAGGTGAGGGGTGTTCAGCTGCAACACCAATGCAATAGAAAATTCTAATTAAGTTTATACTAAAAAAACATTTTAATTATGGCTTATTTCTTCTATTGTTTGATGAACACGTACATGAGGACTGTAAACAGGAAAACAGAACGAGCACCATCCACTAAACTATGAGATACACTTCAAAGTTTTACACACGCCGATCAGACAAAATATTAAAACAGGTCACAGCTTTTGATGTTCGACATGTGGCGGTTGCTCGAGGTTGACAGAGCACCATCATGTGTAATACTGAAACCTAAATGAGGCCGTGTCTGGGTGTTTCATACAGAGGTTGTGACATGCTCCTTAAACCTTTGCCATTAGTTTGATACTGCAGTGCTGCAGGACAAAGTTGATTAAACCCATCGTTCCCATGCAGCACACTGGTTTCAACACGTTTTACATCAATCAATGTGATTTGCCAGATAAAGGGGTGAGTAACTGCCACTGAGTCGGCTTCAGTGGCCAGGGGTATGGTGGAAACAGCAATGCAGCTGTTAGTCTACCTTAATGAAGAATGTTTTACTTGGAAATGTGTGTATCTGTATTCAACTGTGTTTGTGTAATTACCCTCACTGGCAGAAAGAGGAGTCAAAAGTGTCATACTTAAAGAAAATGAAGCCACTGTCTTCTTCCTGTTCTCACCTCTGCCAAGGAGGTTACGTTTTAGTTTCAGTCTGTCTGTCTGTTTTTAAGACATGCACTGAGCTGCACAGAGCCACCTGGCCCCCCTACCACGAAGCGCAGAGAAGACAATGTGGGGAAACAGCAGGAGGTCCTCTGCAGGTTTCACCACGAGTGTGTTAATGACGCTTCAAAACAACAGAGAAAACACACGTGTCAGAATGAAAAAGAGTGGCCATACAAGAAGACACCGATGCACGTGTCGACGTGCTGTAAACAAAAACACATAACCTACGCAGCAGAATTCATATGTTACGCTCTGCCCCTGCCCGCTGCATCATCCCTCGCCTGAGTCCGACAGAGGAATGGTTGCTGTTGCGAACACGTCAGAGCAGAGAATCTAATGTGTGAAAGGCAAAGTGAGGAGAAAGCCTGGACCTAACTCTCTCATTCCTCTGGGGGCCGTGTCTGAAAACGGCTTTGGTTAACAGGATTAAACAAAAGCTACTGCGGTATGGGTCAGGAAAGAAGGTGCACAGACTAAAGAGAGAAAGACAAGATTTAACACAAGTGAATGCCACAACTGCTGAAAGTAAGAATTCTGACTAGAATACAGTAATGGAACAAAACACAAAGTTAGAGATCTCTTTTGTTATCATGAGTTTAAAAGCTTAGAAAAATGATTAATTATCAAACTGTGGCAGAACAAACATTTCTTTGAGATGCCCTTGTTACTTCAAATATCTTAAAACCCCTGCTTACAGCGGTCCAACACTCATATATCCTAATTAAGAGTTATAGGTGTGTGTCATAATTGCTGCCCTCCATAATGGCTGTGAAGTCATTCCGTCCTGACATGACCACACTGTGAGAAGGGGGACGAGATGCAGTTTGTGTTCTGTGGGGGAAAAAAAGCCCAGGAAGGTTAGTCTGAGGTTTATGAGGCCTCAGCTGTCTGAGCTTCACAAAGCAAATGTGAATCTTCCAAAGGTAGTCTATCGAAAATGAGTGTGTCCTGATCTGTTTATGTTCAGCAGCAGCACAGTGACACTGACCATCACAGACTGTATCATGACACACAGAGAACTGTCACGAAACCATGGTCGACAACCACATGTGTCTAACATGCAGTTGCTCATGTGAGCTTCAGCTAAACTAGACAAAAATCTGTTTTTCACACACTATAGTTGTCATGGTCACCAAGTGTGGTCATAAGCTCAGGTGGCTGATCTACAGTCAGTGTTACTGGTACTGAGAGGTGTGGTGCCGTGGCAAAACCAGATCACATCTTGTATTACTATGATGCATTTCAGTCTGAAATTCACTTGGCGGAAAGTAAAATACAAACACTTTTAATCGTTGGTTTACTCTGAGTATTACTTTAGTTATGTGATAAAACAACACCCGAACATGTCGTCTTTATTACCTCCGCCCAGGTTGTGTTTCCATCAGACGGATTACCACAGAACGTAATGGAAGGATGCGGTATGGGTCAGGAAAGAATTCGTAGAATTTTGGTGCAGATCTGTGTGAGGGGGTGGGTCCAGGATTTTGTTTTTGAACATTTATATGTTACTTTCTCAGATAAAATCGGATGGATCGTGATGACAAATAAAAAAACAAGTCTGATACTTATGTGTGTGTGCAATTTGGTGCAGATCCAAATCCAGATCTAGAGTCCGGTCCAGTCTATTCTCTGCTCATTGGTGACTTTCAGTGCTGTATTTGAGTCTCTTCTCCAGCACTGATAATCCACAAGCAACTATTTCAGTTTCACAAGTGTCTTTGTCCCGCCATGTTTTACCTTAATCATCATCTTGACCATAAC